GCTTTGATAAATAAATCTGCAAGCTCAGCAAACGAATTTATAGAATTTTCAGGTAAAAGAGAATACTATGTTAAAGCTCCTTTATTGAGTGTTTCACCGAATTTTTTGACCAAGACCGACTCAATTTCTTGCTTAGTCAAATCATTGCCCTTAACACCTGTTGTGAATGCAGTAACGTGATCTCGTGGGTCTGATGTACCATCATACTTTGGAATATCAGGCATCTTAAACTTCTTTGGAATTGGAAGGGGAGCAGCACTTGGCTTCCATGGTTGTTGAGAATATTTATCTATATCCACACCCCTGATCACGGGCGGTACTCCAGGTATTTGCTCTATGCGTTCATTTTGCTCCTTGAGTTGTTTCTGCAAGGTTAGCACTAGACTTTGTAAATCAGAATTAATTGGATTACCTGGGTCCCTCTCTTGTGTTTCACTAGGGGTTCCACCGCTGCCAGAATTAATCAATCCTGACCGAGGATTCTCCAAAGTGTTGTTGTTTGGAGCAGATGCGGGTGGGATAACAGGCAATTGGCGAACAAAAGCTTGGAGAGCGTTATTGACTTGAGAGGCAATAAGTTTTTGCAGAGCCTCATTCATGGTTTCAGCATTTTCAAATTGAGCCTGTCCATCTGTATAAGATCCATCAGGAGTGCCTTCACGAGATCGTCGTGGGGAGCCTCGTGGAGAATCTTGAGGAGAGCCTTGTGGGGAATCTCCCTGAAGTTGTTGGACTGTCTGAATTTCTGGGTTTCCTTGAATGTTGTCATTGTTGTTTGACATGATTGATGCAATTTGATTATCAGATTCCCGGTAACGGAACCAATTTGTTTAACCAAAAAATAGAATTTCAGTTAAAACTAGAAATTAAGAGAAAAAATCGGGTTACTGATAATCAGGAGACGAAAAGAATAAAGAATTTAGGAAAATAATAAAGCAGTAAATAAGTTTGTATTTCAATGTAATCTCGATGATATTTCGTGTCCTTACAAATGCTGAGATCTCCTCCTTTTGTAGTTGATTCTTCTAGGAAAAGGTATAATGACTCAGTCTTAAAGAGGCAATTATGAGCATTAAATGACATTAAATGAAACGTTACTCAATCATTCCTATTCAATGCTGATTCGCTAACGTATTTGACATTTAATACTGATTTAGACTCCTTTATGCTATCAGATTCATATCTTCAATTCCTTCTGACCTCCTGACTTTAATTAAGTTAAACAGACACGAGACTTGTATCATTTGAATAGCATCTCGTGCCTATTTAACTCTCTTCTCTTCGTATCTGATATCGCCCGTGCCTCTCAATTGATCATCATGTTTTGACTATTTGACCAGTCCACGTGTCATGCCACATCACCTTCAATATAAATTCAGTTTTTTCCCAATACACATTTGGAATAAATAAATACCTTAAACCAAATTAGAAGTATAACTTGCCCTGTTTCAAAACCTTTTCTTGCTTTTCTATACGATTGAGTCACCGTTTTCAGTCAGCCTATGGAGTGTGTGCATTCCTTGTTTTAATAATTCCAATTCTCGCACCAATAATAAGCCATGTATCTGTCGGATAATCAAACTTCTGCCACAATCTTTCCATACATGCCATTAATTTAACAAGACCAAATTTCCTATGTCAACTAGTCTTTCCATACATGCTGTGATCTCTATGATTTGGGACTTCTGCAGTTTAAATACTCCCATCCGATCCAAAATAAGTGATTTTTTGTCCGTTTTCTTGTGGTCCAAAATAAGTGATTTTTTCAGATTTCAAGAATGAATTAATTATTTTTTTCCTACATTGTCCTTGGAGTAAATATGGTTGGAATATGTGTTAGGAGTGTTTATGTGAGATAGTAAGGGTTAATATGGTCAATTCCATTGTTAATTAATGCTAAAAGGTAGATTTCTTAATCTGTATGAAAACATCCAAAAAATCACTTATTTCGGACCGGAGGAAGTACCATATAGTAAGAGTTCTTTCTTGAAAGAACAGGTATCGAAAAATTAAAGAGGAAAAGCTAGCCAATTTTTCAGTAACCATATATAGTGTGTGTGATACTAACCTTTTCTTTGGGTCCATTTAGAGCACGTGCACCACGTGCATACAATAAAAATTTTGAAGTATAGAAGTATCAGTAAAAAAATATCTCACATGTGTGCCTCAATTCTTGTTGCCCCTTCCTCTTTTAACGCCACGTTTAAAAAATCGAGATGGTCTAGGTGTGGACACAATTTTTTCAAATGAAAGTAGACGTGTGAAAGCTTAGCAAGTCAAGATCTAGTCATGCTAATGCTCCAAATTTCTGCAGATTATTAGTACAAAAAATAGACTTTAAGCTAGCATTTGGATATAGATTTAGTTGAAACTTGAAAAAATAATTTTTGAAGTAGTTTTGACAAATAATTATTGGAAGTTAAAATTATGTTTGGACATGCATTTTATTTGAAAAAAATTTGAAGTTTTGTGAGTGGGAGAACAAGTTTCACCCAAAATCTACCCTAAACTAGATTTTGGAAACTTGAAAAATAATTTCAGAAATTTTTCAAAAATAGATCATTAATCTATGAACAAACAATGTTTTCAAAAAAGATTTGAAAAAAGGGTGCCAAAATGTATGGCCAAACGGGGCCTAAGGGACTGAAACCCCACATACAAAAACAACAACTTCATTATACTTTTTTAATTTATAAAGTAGTAGTACTATATTTGTACACCATGCCCCTTTACAATTTATAAAAATAAATTTTCCATATGTAAAAAAAAAAAAGATAGGGTCAAAAAACTAAAATAAGTATGTAAAGAGCCAAAAAACAAATTGACCCGTGAAAATTAGCATTCTAGATCGCCACTTATTAGTCGAGTGAAAATAAAAATGTGTGTAGAATTTGAAGAAGATTGCTGAGAATGAAAGATTAAAATATGCAATAATGAAAAAAAAAACTTCATTATACTTTGATAGGGAACGCTTTGCCCTTTAAAATATTATACACGGTGCGAACTAAAATAATGACTGAGACCCTAAGGCATTTTACCTTTTAAAAAAAAGGAGATAAATTGATAGTTACAGGAGACAGAGCATCTGATACAAGGAACATTTTTTTTTTGATAATTAAATGATTTTATTTACCAATAGCAATATGTACAAAATTTTATCTGGAACAGGGCATTCCCAGTTCCATTTCCTCTTCCACATTTCTTCTATCCTCCTTTACTGTAAGTATCTATTTCTGCTATTTTCTTTCCTGTCTTACTATCCATCGATCCTCTAATTGCTACCTCTATTACAATTTGCCTCACTATCATTTCTACTATTTTCTTCTGATCCTGGAATATTCTGTTGTTCCTTTCGTTCCATATGTGGTACACTGCACATGCCAGGGTCAATCTATAGACTTGAGCTGCTGCATTGTTTCCAGTTGCATTGCTTTCAACCCATTGTATCTCCCTTTGCCATTCCATCGGAGCTCTATGTAGTATCTTGCTCCATATTTCTCCAGTAATTCGATAGTTAAACAATAAATGTTCAATAGTCTCTTCTGCTTCAGTACATATAGGACAGCTTACTTCATCTGTAATCCCCCATGTGTGTAGTCTACTTCTTGTGAGTAGCCTGTTTTGTATAGCTAAACTCAGTACAAAAATCCACTTTGAAGCTCCTAGATTGTTGCATGTTAGTCGCCTCCATGATACCTTTTGATATTGCCCTCGCATGCTATTATACCACTTCTTAATAGAGAAGTGGTTCTATTCTATTACTTCTTCCATGCTGATTCCTGCTTCTTCTATGTAGCTCTTTGCTTTGATTATTTTCTGAACCACCAATGATGCAGTCCTTGGTTTGCACTCCCATACTTTCTGCTTCTTCCCATAATATAGATGGACCCATTGGACCCATAACTTGTCCTTCTTTTTGCATAGATTCCATAATAATTTGCAAATGGCAGCTCTGTTCCATATTTGAATATCCATGACATTGAAACCACCTGTTGACTTTGGTGAACACACTTTTTCCCATGATAACAAAGCTCTTTTTGAAGCTTCTGTTCCTCCAGTCCACAAAAATGTTCTACAAATTATTTCTATCTTCTTCATTATCTTCTTAGGGATAACAAAGATCTGTGACCAATAGATTTGAATGGAAAATAGAACTGTTTTGATCAGTTGTAATCTGCTTGCATAAGATAAGAACTTTGAAGTCTATGAAGTGATCCTGCCTAGCATCTTCTCCAGTAGTGGTTGGCATTGTAACAGAGATATCCTCTTAGTGCTGAGTGGTACTCCAAGATATTTGAATGGCAATTCTCCCCTGCTGAATCCAGTTACCTGCACTATATGTTCCTGTATAATCTGCGGAACCCCTCCAAAATAAATGGAGCTTTTTGTTGTATTTGCTTTTAATCCAGATGCCTTTGAAAATTCCATAAAATAATTGAACACCATTTGAATGGAGATAGTATCACCTCTGCTGAATAACAGCAGGTCATCTGCAAACCCCAATTGGATGATATTTAACTTGTCACACCTAGGATGGAAGTTGAAATCCGGCTTATACCTCAGTGTTTTAAAGCTTCTTGTAAGATACTCCATACCCGATACAAATAAAAAAGGTGATAATGGATCCCCCTGCCTTAGTCCTCTTCTAGCTTGAAATGGTTCCATTGGTTTTCCATTGATGAGGATGGAATATGAAACAGTTCTTATGCATACCATAATCCATTTTACAAACTTCTCTGGCATTCCTAGGTGGTTCAGCACTTGTTCTAAGAAATCCCATTCTACAGAATCATATGCCTTTTGCAGGTCCAATTTTATCATACATTTAGGAGAGATGCCCTTCCTTCCATACCCTTTTACCAGCTCATGACTTAGGATTATGTTATCTGTTATAACTCTTCCAGGAATAAAACCAGACTGACTCTTGTCAACTAGGTGATCCATCACTCCTTGCAATCTGCTGGTCAATATTTTTGATAGATCTTGTATAATACTGTGCATCATGAAATAGGTCTGAAATCTTTGACAGTTGAAGGGTGTTGAATCTTAGGGATCAAGGTAACAGTTGTTACATTAATAGGTCTGTACATTTCAGCTTTGTTGAAGAATTGAAGCACTGCCTCAGATACTTCTTGCCATGTAATCCCCCATGTCTTCTTAAAGAATTTTGAGTTGAAACCTGTGGCTTTTAGTTCATCTATTCCCTTCAAAGCAAGTTGAATCTCTCCTATAGTAACATCTTCAATTAGTTTTAACTGTTGCTTTCTGTCTAGTACATTGCCCTCCCTCATGATGCTTGGTTGAATGGCTGGTATGCTATCAGCTGCTGCTCCCAGTAGCCCTTTGTAGAATCCCACTATTTTCATTTCTATTGTTTTCCTAGACTGAATAATTTCATCAGCTGTATTTTTCAGACTTCTAATCTTATTATTTACTCTATTCTTCATGCTAGCAAGAAGAAAGCTGAAGGAACATTTCCTCTATAGTAAATGTTCCTTCATGATACAAGGAACATTTACTGTGCATAATCTTAATTCAATGCACGAGGTCATAGTGTTGGTTTATGAAAATAAAAGATACTGTAAGACAATGAAAGAAAGCCGTCGTGGCCCAAATTGCTTTTCAGATAACTTTAGTGGCGTCTTTTAATTTCTTTTGCTTCCACTTAACATAATCTTTATGCTTAATTGGCACTGTGCACTCCACTATGTACATCTTGCACTTAAATAATATAGGTTTGTTTAAAGACATAACTACCCCTACTTCATTTCCATTTTCCTTTAATAGACGGAAAAAATAAAGTACAAAATAGAGTGTGAAAACTGCATGACGACAAGGTCAATATGGTCAAGAAAACGTCAAAAGACTTGATGTCTCTAATAACGGAGGATAAAGATAAGCAATGGCATATAACGTAAATCTGGTTCAAAACCAGGGCTATTATTAACTTCTTACTTATATAAATACAGGCCATACACATCCTCCGAGCAAAGCAAACCCAAGCCATTAAGTAACACCCGGCAACTCAGTCCCTCCGCCGGCAACACTACCTGAAAAAACAGCCGGCCACCCAGTAGTCAGTACATCACTACCAGTAAAAACACATCGGAGAATTTGAATAATGGCCGGAGCAAAAAAAGAGATAACGATCAACGGAGGAAACATGATGTCAAGAAGAGTAGAATATGGGAGACCAATTCCAAAGAGAGGGCAAGTGAAGGTGACTATAGTGTTGGGATTAGCTCATTCTTTGTCTTCTATTTTCTCCGTCGGCGGCCGTTCTCAGTCTTGCCGGAGAATAACCCATCTCCCCTGAGCGAGTGAAGAGAAAGTACCCAGTTTTGGTAAATTTAGATAGTGTTGGAGGGTATAGTTGTCCTTCTAGAGAATCTTGAGCTTGTTCTTTAGTTTGTTCTGTACATATTTTTCTGATTTTTCCTAGTTCTGTCTTGTATAATTTTGGAAGTTAGTTTTCAATCATCTTCCAGAGTGCTGCAGCTTCCTTTTGTTTTAAGATCCATTCTCCATTGATTGATGATTCATTATTCCATCAATTTTATTTATTACTAACAATTAACACATTTCTGTTGTCTCAATCACATTATTTTCCTCTTTGGCTACGCTAATAGGAATTAATCTTTTCTGATATCAAGGAGAGGCTTTTCATTTTATTTTATTTTTCTCCTAAACATGGTAGTATATTTTAGTAGGTATTTAGGTTTTACCAAGTTAAAAGCTCTGCAACTGATGATACTTCTCATATATGTACTTGACGTTGTAGAATTTAAATTCAGTAAAACGATATTGACATGGCTTTAAGCAAACAAAAGATGAAGAATACACTATCCCAATTGCTATTAGCCTCACCTATAACACTAAATATTGAGTCTCTCTTTCGATCCCATATGAAAGTCTGCTGTAGCTTCCTCTTGTTGGGTTTTTAAGCATTAAAATGGCTTAAAAGAGGGTGAACGAGAAATGAAGGGAAAATGAAATATTTGAGTTTCATTTGAGATTCCCTCCTTGACAAAGGACATTGTTGTCACGCCCCGAAGCTGGGCCTCGACGTAACACGGCACTTGGTGCCTGACTACATGTGACCGAGCGAATCAACTGGCTCGCTGAATCAACATGTGGTATCATAACATATTGAATGCGGAAAATAAACTAGACCGAGCGAATCAACTGGCTCGCTGAATCAACATGTGGTATCATAACATATTGAATGCGGAAAATAAACTAACACATGCTGATATATTGAAAGTTTGGATGATATAAATCAAAGTGCGGAAATACTAATACAATTTTAATAATATTTGTAGCCAACATAGCATAACATGGAAAGCATGTGACTCTGTCTAACTGTTACTCTAGTCTATGAAGCCTCTATTGAAGTACTAAAAACACTAACTATCTGTAAATACTGACAGGCTGTAAAGAAATGATAATGCCCCGAAAGAACTGGGGATCACCAAATAGCTGGTACGAGAATCCTAGCGCTCTGCATCGTTGACCTGTAAATCATTACCTGCATTGTGAGATGCAGGCCCCGGGCAAAAGGGACGTCAGTACATTTGAATTGTATTGGTATGTAAAGCAACTGAAAGAAAGAATTATAAATGCTGAAACTGAAACTAAGCTGATAACTGAAATGATAACTATTGAAACTGAAACTGAAGTGAGAACTGGTAACTGAACTGATAACCGAAAAGATAACTGATAACTGAACTGATAACTGAAAAGATAACTGATAA